ATAGAAATTGCCTTCTAATTTTATCCAAGATAATCAGCGTACCTTTTGGAAGAAGATGAGTTGACATTTGGAACACGAGTAATGAAGATAGCACAGAGTTTATGAGAGTAATCCGACCCCCCATAGATAGTTGCTGGCCTTTCCACCTTGATAGCTGCTTGTGAAAAGACTCTATCAATTCCTTCCAAAATATTCTACTTCGAGGGTTTCCTCCCACCCGAATACCCAGATATTTGAATGGTATTCCACCCTTTTTACAGTTCAGCAAATATGCCATCTTTGCTAACCATTCCTCCTCCACATTGTCTCCCATTAATTGACTCTTTGCATAGTTGATCTTCAATCCAGATGAAAGCTCAAAACTTCTCATGATACATTTTACCGCCCATATATTTTCCTCCGTTGCTAATCCCATTAACAAAGTGTCGTCGGCAAACTGTAGATGGGATATATTTATCTCATTTCCTCCTATTTGAATTCCTTCCAATAGGCCCTTTCTCACTGCCTCCATAATTAAACCATTCAGCCCTTCTACCACAATCAAAAACAAGAATGGGGATAAAGGATCCCCCTATCTCAATCCTTTTGACATTCTAAACTACTTTGATGGGCTTCCATTTACTAGCATAGAGATAGACGCCGATTTCAAGCACTCTTGTATCTAACTTCTCCATTTTTCACCAAAACCCAATTTTCTCATCATAAAATCTAGGAAACCCCAATTTACATTATCATAAGCTTTCTCAAAATCAGCTTTCTCAAAATCAGCTTTGAAGACAAAACACTTCTTCTTGCTCTTCTTTACATCATCCAATACTTCATTTGCAATCACCACCCCATCAGGTAGTTGCCGTCCTGCTATGACAGCCATTTGTGTCTCCCCAATAACTCCATCCAAGACCTGCCTAAGTCTGTTTGCAAAGAGTTTTGATAGGATTTTGTACATAATCCCAATAAATGAAATAGGCCTATACTCCTCAATCCTCTCCGGGTTATTTGTTTTGGGTATTAACACCACAAAAGATTCATTTGAGCCTTTCACCAACTTTCCCTTGTCATGAAACTCCTGTATGAACTCTGTGATATCCTTTTTGATAACCTCCTAATTCCTTTTGATGAAATTAAAATTAAATCCATCTGGACTTGGTGCCTTTGTGCTGTCACAATCCCAGATTGCTAATTTTATTTCCTTCTCAGTGAAAGGAGCAATTAGGAACTGATTCTGAGTCTCCGAAATCATTTTAAACTCCGCCCCCTCAATTTTTGGTCTGAATTGCCATTCCTCCTTAAAAGCCTGTTCAAAGTGTGTTGCAATTTCCCTCTTAATTTCATCCACCTCAATACACTGTCGTCCCTTTGCCAAGATACTGCATATTTCATTCCTTCTCCATCTGCTCTTGATACATTTATGGTACTATGCAGTGTTTGCATCACCCTCCCTTAACCATGATCTCCTCGCTTTTTGGTGGCACATTATGTTCTTAATCCTCATATTCCTCCACAAATCAACAAAGGTCTCTCTTCTTTTTGCTATCTCTTCCTCTGTAAGCTGTTGGCCCTCCCCTCTAAGATCTAATCTTGCAATTTGATCTTCAGCATTAACAATGTTTTTGTCCACCTCATGCTCATACCCCCTACTCCAGTTTCTTAATGCCCCTTTGAGCTTTTTCAATTTTTCCTTTAAGCAGAAACCCTTCCAACCTTGAACCTCTGCAGACTTCCATGTCTCCTCTACCAACTCCTTAAATCCCGGTCTCTCCATCCATACATCAAAAAATCGAAAGGGTTTGGGACCCCAATCAATTTTTTGATTTTTTAATATCACAGGACAATGATCTGAGATGGTCCTCTTAAGCCCCCATTGTTTTGCATCTTCCCAATTCAATAACCATTCCTTTGAGACTAGAAATCTGTCCAATCTGCTCATTGATCCTCCACTTGCATGGTACTAAGTATACTTTCTTCCATTAAGAGGTAGATCAACCAAACTAGAATCACTGATGAATTTCTTGAAATCTCTCATTTCTCTAGCATTTACACTGCTTCCTATTTTCTCCTTCCTCGATTGCACTGCATTGAAATCTCCTGCCACACACCAATTACCCCTGTGCTTAGTGATTAAGTCCAGCAGTTCTGCCCAAAGTGCTCTTTTTCCATCCATTTCACATGGAAAATACACATTTACTATATACACTGGTACTTTTTCCTTTCCCCAAAAGCCAAAAATCCCCAAAAAACTACCACCTTCAAACACGCTTACTTTCTGGAAAGTGCTTGGTTCCCATAAACATAGTAGTCCGCCTGATCTCCCATTTGAAGGCTTTGTTATCCACTCCAACTCCCTTTTACCCCACATTGATCGACATACCCACTCTTCGATTTTCTCCAATTTCGTTTCTTGTAATGCCAAAAACTGCACTTTCTCCTTTTGGACCATCTCCCTAATTCCCCTTCTTTTACCTTCCCCTCATATACCTCTAGCATTTAGTGATAGCACGATCATTTTGATACAGTCACACCTTTCTCACCTTTTGCACTTCCTTGCTCCCCTTGTTGATCTTTGGCATTCTGATCTCTATTCTCCATTCGTTCAATTCTTTGAATTACCTCCTCCTCCTTCTCATCAGCCACCATCCCTATTTTCTTTGCGAACTCCCAGATCTTTATTGCTCCTTTCTTTTTTTGTTGAGCTATGGGATTGGGATTCCTATTAATGATGTCACTGTCTGAAATCGATCCTCCCGCTATTCTGCTCTGAGACCCCTGAAGAAATATTGGGGTTTCCTTTGCTAGTTCGATCTGGTTGCTCCGACTACTCTTTGTTCTCTTTTTTCTGGTTGTCTCCTCACGTAATGTAGACCTTATATATACCTCCTGGCATGTGATAGTCTTCTTGGACTTCTTCCTTTTTGATTTCCTATTGCGGTTCACCCATTTAGCTCTCAGCATCCAATCGGCTTACCATCCTGAATCACTGTCCATATCTTCCCAAAAACCTTTTCCTGAATTTTCTATGTCATCCGTTGCATTTCCTGTTCTCACTTTTCGATTGATTTTGGCAAGCTCCTTTCCATTCTTCTTGTAAGGCTCTACATTTTCTGTGGCATGATTACCAGCTTGGCCCATGCTGGTTCCTACCCCTAAATCCCCCATTGTCTGGTCTTTTATGAGGCTGTCCTTTTCACTTTCGTTTTTGTTGCGTGTATTCTGTCTCCCAAGCCCAACTTGCTCATCCTTTTTTGGCCCATTACTCCCTTTCATTGTTAGCCCATTATCTTCCCTGCCACTAGCCCTTTCTTCCTCTTCATCAGTCCCATCTGTTTCATTTACTCTGCCACCTATTTTGTCTAAGTCTTTCACCATCTTTAAACTTTCTGACACCCTCTCTATAGGTACATCATTTGATTGCATATCTCGAGAGTTATTAGCCTTTACCTTGTCAGCTCTTTTTGTGTCTACATTCAAATTTAAACTTCTCTCTTCCCCGCTTACTTGTTGATTCACTGAAACTTCCTCTTCCCTCCAATGGAAACTTGCCACATCATCATCTTCAATCTTCCTACCTTCTTCCATCTCTAGCCAATCTTGGTATCTACCATCATCACCTTGGCATCCCATCTCTTGCTTATAATCCGAGTCACTACCTAGTGACCAAGACTCATTTTCCTTTGAGTCATCCTTTTCACTAAAGGCACAATCAGATTTTAATCTGAATAAACTATTTGTAGACTCTTCCTCCATGATTCTGATCTTGTACAGAATGCCCTTGATTTTAATGGTGACTGTTTTGGATATAAACTCCATTAATGGTGTGGAAATAAGCAATCTTGCCACATCGAATCTCCTTTTTTTACTTGTACTATCATCTAAGGAGATGAACTTGCCAAAGAGACAAGCTACCGTCATGAAATTATCATGATTCCACGCATTTAAAGGCATGCCTTGGCACTTTATCCAGGTGAACCTCTCCCTTGCCACCATAGATGGTGACCATGGTCCAATTTCCTCAAACCACTGTCCTAACCAATCCGCTGCAAGTTCTACCAGATCTTTCAATTTATCCTTGTCTCCTCCTTCAAGCAAAACCAATTTGCCTCCCATTGGACGAATTTTACATGTAAAATAACCTTCCATGTAAAATTTTTCTTGCAGGAATGGTACCATCTCCACTAAGTAAACTATCCCCACCATACAGCTTCCTAACCATTCTTCATCTTCCTTGCTTGCTTTAAGCTCTAATCCTACCCAGTTTCTATTTTCTTCTTTAGCCTTCCAATATTGATTCCTTTTAAATCCTATAGGCTTGCTCCAATTCTACTTGCTCCAGCTCTGCTTGCTTTGTGTCTTAACCTTTGCTTTCCCGTCATCCTTCTTACTCCCCTTAACCACATCGGCATAACTTCTGCGATGTTGCACCTGATCTGTTTCCCTCCTCTCCACTGCAGTCTCCTTTTTCTGAAAATTATATTTTGGCATATTCACCTTTAGATTGGAATTTCCCACCCTTATGCCATTCAATCGTCTCTCCAATTCCTTTTCATCCTACACCTCAAGGTATCTTACAAAACCAAATCTGCTTCCATTCCTACTTCTACACATAGGGCTGTAGATATCAAACACTCTCCCAAAATGATGGAAAGTTCTCCACATATCTCCATAGCTCCAGTCATCCGGGAAATTTGTGAAGAAGAAAGGAACTGCTTGTTTGTACGTCCCTCGATCATACCCCCTGTGGTTCCTATTGTCTTCTACCCTCCCAGCCTCTTCTCTGCTCTGCTGCATCAGAAAACTCTCTGCTCTGTGCCGTCTACCGTACCTGTGTCCGCCTGCCTTCCCAGCTTCTCACTCTCTTTCTGCCTCTCTCTCTCATCTCTCTCCTTTTATAATTCTCCTCCGTTGAGTGAGTTTCTTGAGAGGGAATTCTCTCGATTTATCTCTGTATCTTAGGTCTTGCCAACCTAAGTGGTGAATCTGGCAATCGAATTCATCGTAGTGGAATTTTAAATCTCGCCAAAATCGGTGTTTCGGTATCGGCTCCTACGCCAGATTCACTTACAACTAAAGGTAGAAATGACAACCAAAAATAAGTATCCCACCCTGCGCGGCGCATTTTGAATCCAATCCATGAACAGAATAATTAATTAGAATTCCACATCTACGATTAGAAAATCAGTTAAGTAATTTCTAAACTTGTGTTGGCTAAGGGACAATAATATATACCTTCCACATTTAGCAGCAAAAACACCACCACAAATAGCCACAGGTACCAGCTGTGTGTTTGAATATTATTAGCGGTGTGCTATATAAGTATTAAAATTCAAATACATCTCAAGTAAATTACAGTCAGAGATAATGGTAGACCTGTCAAGAACAATTACCTTATGCTGACAACTTTTTTGAAATCCACTCCAAGTGTTCGTATCATGTACTTGTGAAAATCACATTTAGGATTGGAAGGCATGTGGGTCTAGATTGTGGGGAGGAAAAAAGGTAAGCAGCTGGAATTTTTATAAAAATACTGCATAAACAACACAAATAAATAAACATAGTTCTTTCTTGGTGCTTAACCATTATAAATCCTTCTCGAAGGGCTATGTAGTCTGACTTAGTCACAGAGCCATGAAATTGTTTGAAAAACGATATCTGTCAAAAAGAACAGAGATCCATGTGAGATATCAGTTTAAATTCAGGCCTTTCCCTTGGAACCTTTTCACTTATTTTTCCTTGTTCGTTGTTACCTTTTTTTTTCGAAAAAAAAAAAGAATATAATTAATAAGACCAATTTTTTGATACAATAATGTGAGGTAGCAAGGCTCGGAAGTCCAAATCAATTTAAATAAATTTTGATGGGTGAATATTTTTGTTGTGTTCCAGTGATTTGGTTTAGTAGGGTTTAAGTCAAATTCCTTTGCTTTTATTTTTGTTTTCATGGTCAGATTTTACCAAATATGAAACAAAAGAAAGAATAGGACAACAAAAAATTATACTGGGCTGAATGCATGTTAGTTTCTAATTCTTCATCATTATAGAAATGGACTAATCCAGAAGTGAATGCATGCAGGAATGGATTATCTTAGTAGATTATCTTAATTTCCTTTCCTCTTTGCTATTATTAGGTTATCTTAATTTCTCCTATATATTGAAGTATTTGTTAGAGAATGATGATCATTTTGAAAGAAAATTTGGAACAGCTAAAAAGTTCAAGCCAGAAATGATTCGACTGAGATAACGAGAGAAACCAGTGAAGAGGGGACAGAGTAAATCTCAAAAGCAGCTGAGAAACTCCCCTAAACCTGGGAAGGAGATCGTGGAGGCTTTTTTCTTCCTCAAGTTATGATTTTAATGAGGTTTCTAAACTTCAAGAATATATCTTACCCCTGTGGTTCTGGTAATAGCATTGTCAAATGGTCGTCACGACTGCCGGTCCATTATGTAAAAGAGTGACTCAAGCTTTGTTCTTAGGTTTTCTAGGCTCTGCTGATTTAGGATTAGTTCATGTTCTTAACTTGTCTTCTTTCTTTGCTCTCCTTGCTAAGAGGCTGTTTATGGGTAGTTGATATGGTCTTAATTTATTAAGGTAATTAACCTTAACTTTTCAAAGTTTGTCTAAGAAATAAAATATGTGTAAACATTCTGATTCATACTTAAAATAAAATGCCTAATTAAACCCTACGTGGGGTGAGGACCACTTGTTACACATAATTATATGGTAACTGGCCTAAAATTGATTGGAGGTTTTCTCTTCCGAATTTTAGCAACTATGTCAATTTGTTGGTCTGTCTCATAGCCCAATGCCATATGGCAAAGCAAGGCAGGGTAAAATATAAACCTTGAATCTAGATAGTAACAATATATGTTTAAAAAAGAGACGATCAAAGGAAAACTAACCTGGAAGTAGTCTGACTACCAAATTTATCAGGAGAGCTATCATCAAAATTAAGAAAGATTCTTTTTTCTGTTGGCATCTGAATACTTATGCTCTGCTTTCTTTCTTGGACCGTTTCATGGGGGAACTCTTTTCTCGGAGAGTGTTTGCAGCTACAGCTTCTGTCAAGTCAAGCAAATGCTGAATAAATTCACATTGCCCGACATCATATAATTAGACTGTGATCGTTGCAGTTGTAGTTGAAGCTCTTCATTTTCCTTTTGCAGTGCTTACCCTAAATCTGTTGGTAGGAACAAAAAAAGATTGAGACTTAAATTTGCAAAAAGAAAAAGGTTCTACCCTTAATGGATTCTTGGTTCCATATTAATAGGATGCACTTTTAGGGTAGGGTATATTTGGGTTGTGGGAAAGGAGAATTTTTTGACAAATCAAGTTGCATTATTTCTAAAAGTTATAATTTAATTGCTAAAATGAAAGTACCATTCCTTCCCATTCTTCTCTTCTCTTAAACCAAACAGTCTTTTTAAGAAATTAGTATAAAAATATGGATATATGAAGTATTTTGGGTTGCCTAACTATCCACAAGTCATGAGATGCGGTAAGTTACCTGTTTGTCAAAAAAAAAATGAAAAAGCAGTGGTCCAAATTAGGCTTTTCTTTTGATTTTGGATTTTAATAGTCTATACTAAAAATGGCGTTCGCATTTGCCGCCGATCAAAGCGGTGGAAATTAAACAATGTATGTTGTTTTCCTCCATTTCTTTATTGTCCATTTGTTGTTTTGTTGGATCTCCTCTGAGTCCTGCGTCGCGGAAAGGGATATCTGACGGTGAAAACAATTAAGAAGCAAGAAAACAATGGTTAAGAAGAAGGATATAATAAGGTTGCAGCGGGAATCAGTGATTCCTATCGTTAAGCAAAAAATCATCACCACCTTAGCTGAGCGTCTTGGTAAGTTAAAATTTCTTTGATTTAGACATTTAATTTAATTTGGATCACAACTTCTGATATGGAGAGACTTCAATATTAATTTGTTGTGTGGCTGGCCTGCAGAACATAAATCTGACCGTTCTGAGTTTTTAAAGCTCTGCCAAAGAATTGAATACACAATTCGAGCTTGGTATGTTTTGCAATTTGAAGATCTAATGGTACGTACGTACGTGTTTTCCATTTCCGTCATGCGGACTGGCCAGTAAAATATATAATTAGCCAGGCCGTCAACGAAACGTATATATCTGTGTTATATATGTTTTAATTTGCAGCAATTGTATTCCCTCTTCGACCCCATCCATGGAGCTCAGAAATTGGAGCAGCAGAACCTATCTCCCGAAGAGATAGACACTCTTGAACATAATTTTCTCACATACTTATTTCAGGTATTCAGTTTAAACTAGCTAGTGTAAGAATAAGAAATTTGTACACCAATTTTTTTAGTAAAATTAATATATATTTTGAAAAATCAAATTTCATATCGATAAAAAAATATTAATATTTAATTATTTTATTGATTATCAGAAACCTTAGATATGCTTTATAATAACCATCTGTCTTTCCCTTTTCTTATCTCTTGTTCCCTTTTCATGGTCCTTTGACAAGTGCTAGCTTTCACGTTCTCGATCCTTCTGCTTGTTCATTGGACTGCTAGCTACTGTAAATTGTTATAGGTAAACTTTGTAATACTTTCCGCTTTCAATCCTTATAAAGGTGATGGATAAGAGCAATTTCACACTACTAAAAAAAGGGCCTTTTTCGGTCCAGATATTTCGGTCAAGTAATTTTCTTGACTGAAAAGCATCTTATTTCGGTCATATACAATGACCGAAGAATAAGTTCGACCGAATTAAATGGAGAAAGACATGCAGTTCGGTCTCAAGTGATTTCGGTCAATAGATTTAACCGAAATAAAACAATTTCGGTCAAGCTCACTGACCGAATAATCCAAAAGAAAAATCCCCCTTCCCTACAGTCACAAATTAGCATAAATTCACTATTTCGGTCATAAAAAATGACCGGACTAAAATCTACAAAAAAATAATTTTTTCAATCAGTTGAACTAAATGAACAAATGATGCAAATCTGCAAAATTTGCATAAAGATACATGGTAAATCTGCATAACAGATCTTTTAGATTCGCTGGTTAAAAAAAATTGCTTTAAAATAATGAATTAGAATTGTTTCCCTGTGCACGCATGGGAGTTCTGCAAATTTGCAAATCTCCTATGCTTGTTTCGGTCAGTCCCACTGACCGAAACAAGCAATGAATCTGCATTGAGATTCATCATGGCTGTTTTGGTCAGTGAGACTGACCGAAACATGCCTAAAGAAAATCTGTGCATGCTCAGCAATTTCTAGCCCCTATTCCCATAGAAATGTGCAGAATTGCAGATTTCTTCGTTATTTTTCGGTCAGTGGGACTGACCGAAATAAGCCTGAAACTTTTACCCCTATTCCGCATGGAAATGTGAAGAATTGCAGATTTATTCTTGATGGTTTCGGTCAGTGGGACTGACCGAATAAAGCTAGACTCTGCAGAGCCGCTATGCTTTGTTCGGTCAGTGTTATTGACCGAACAAATGTTGTAAAAATTTGAGATTATCCCTGAATTGCGTGTGAAATTGCAATTGAGATTTGAAATAGACTGGTTCATTTTCATTCATTGCATTTGCATTTTTATCAGAAAGTCTTTGGTCTCTTTACTCTCATCGTCTCCTCTTCAACTCCTCACTAATTTCTGATTGAATGCATACACAATGAGCTGTTGTTGATTAATTTAGTTAATATTTAGTAATTTTCAAGGTTTTTGATCTAAGAAAGGTATGATTATATACATTCCTCCTCCTTCTTTCTCTTTTTCTTTTTTTTTTTGATATATTTTTTGTAAAATTTTAGGTAATAATTCTCTCTTAACTGCAATATCCAATTTCTACAACATTTGTGTGCTATCGTGCCTTGGATTTGAAATTCTGCTTGTTAATTTGAATTGAGGTTAGTTAAAGTTTATGTATTTATTTTTTGTTATAAATTATTCTAATAATTTGAATTGAAATTCTACTTCTTAATTTAGTTAATAGTTAGTAGTTTTTGATGTATTTGATCTAAGAAATGTATGATTTCCTAC